GACACCAATAATACCTTTGTTATCTCATATGCATACGGCCCATGCAAACCCAGAAACTGAAGTTTCACATGTGCTTAGTTAAGAAAATATTCTTCCTGTCAGCATCTGGAAATGCTACAAGATAAGTAACTAATTAAAAACAAAGCAGAATGAATGTATGTTAATATTTCATTTAAAATTATCAAATTACTTAGAGAAGATTCTGAAATGGTTGAAAATAGAAGAAATACATTAAGTCCCATTAATTAGAAAGAAGAATGTACCAAACAAACTCATCTGCTGTATAAACAGAATTAGAGTAAACCTAGCCAAGATTTTGGACAAGTATTTCCATTGAAGCCACCCTAGTTTTATTACTGAAGTTTAACTAAATTCTAGATGATCCTCAGTCATTTAATTATATTTACCTTTTTACCAAATCAGTTAGCATTTATAAAAGTATAATGTGACAACTAAAGTGCTCAGTATCTGCAATACTATTATTTTGCAATGATTATATTCTAATGTATTTGTTCTGGTTGAAACCCAGAAAAATATTCTGCCAAGGGTAACAGATGGCTTTTTAAATTTTTGTTGCTATTCCAGAATCTTTAAGTCACCCAAAATGCATCTACTTAAACATGATACTGCAGTTACTGCAAAACATGATCTACATGTTCGCTGTTTAATATTTAACAATCTGGATACCATTCCTGTTTGGAAATAATTCTACTAAAGACAGAAATCATTAGCCTAGCATTGCTATAATAAATAGATTTGCCTTTTTACATTTTATCATCTCATTAAAAAAGTAAATGACTCAATTAAAATATTATATTCAATCAGTGCAAATGAACTTTAACAACTCATTCTCAGGAGTGTTAATACACAGGTTGTTATCAATTAGGTATCACTTCACTGTAGTTCATGTAAATCCTTTGTTAACATCGTGTCCCACACTAACACACATTACTAAGGAGCAGAAGGATTTACAGAGCTATTTTTTATCTTAATGAGATGTAACCTTGCAGTGACACTGCTCATTTAATACCCAGCTCTCTCCAGCACGTACATAGCTCATAGACAACATTCCCCACGGAGAGAACAAAGCTATCGTAACAGCGATGCGGTCATACAAATACATAGTATCTACAAAAACCAGCTGTTCTTGAAAGGACTGGTCACTTAAATGGTCAAAACAAACACACTGCTTGCTCTAATTCAGCACTCTGATCCTAACAGCTGACTTCTCAGCTAAGACTAAAAGTTGTCCCATTAAACAGTTAAGGCTCATTAGGAAAAGCCATTTATACCATGCACCCATTATTGCATACCAATAATACCCATACACTATATAGCTTTACCACAGCTTTACTTGTTCAAAGACACTGCGCTGCTTTTTCTCACAATGAGTAGTAACGTTGTCGATCAGACTAACTGGCATCCAGGTTTGCTGTGAATAAAACATCACTTAACCTCAATTAAAACTGACAAAGTTAGGGTTAAAAATATTAATGTGGATATTAATTAGTTAAATATTAGTTAATGTGGATATAAATTGTGCATACCCCCTCCCTGGAGGTGTTGAAGGCCAGGTTGGACAGAGCTTTGGGCAACCTGGTCTGGTGGGAGGTGTCCCTGCCATGGCAGGGAGAATGGACTGGATAGGTTGGAAGGGACCTCAAAGCTCATCACTCTATGATTCTATGAATATTGCTTTAACTTTGCCATCTGCTGCATACCCCTTAAAAATAATAAAAATGTGTAAAAGCACTGTCTATAATCTGATAGTATTAATTGAAAAAGAAAATCCACAATGATCCTTGAGTGTGAAATATATATTAAAAGTTCAATATAAAAGCTGAAGTTTGAATAAACATTACATTGCTTTTTGTAAGATTTGTATCAAATTAGAGCTTCAATACTTCCATTTCAAAGGCTGAAGTGAAAAAAACAAAACAAACCAAAATATTTACAAGTACTTCCCCAGAAATACATTTCCCTAAGATTCATAGATACAAAAGACCCATACTTTTGGTTTTCAGAATTTATCGTGAGACAACAAAACCAGACAATTACTAAAAACAAAAATTGAAAAAAGAAACTCTACACAAATTCCTAGTCACAGAAAACATAACATTCAAAAAATGTTTGGAGTTGTTAGTTTCTTTTTTAAAAGCAAGAAAAAATGTTGTACAAAACCCTCAAACACCTTTTATGCATGAAAAACAGCACCTTAGTCCTGAAGCAAGCAGGCACAGCAGCATAAATTTTGAATAATGTAGTATTCAAGGTGACTATACAGTACTATACAGACTTAAGTGTAGTTGAAAAGTTACTTGCAATATACCTGACTCAATACAATGTAAAACTTGAAGTTCTGCAGTGGCAATTTTTTTTCATCAATTCATGGAACATCACATCAATAACCAGCAGAGATCGATCATGGAGCTGAAGGCCCACGGGACCAACAGTCAGAGATGGATCTCAAATTCCCTAATGGCACTGGTGAAAGAGTAGTAAGATCAGCTTTTGAATTTCAAAACAGATGTACTTCAACAGCGAAAAAATAAGCATAAATATGTAATTACAGAAGAAAAAAAAATCTCTGCTAAAATTACTTTAAATTTAAAATTACTTTCAAAGCTCAGATTGATGACCAAAGCATCTTATTTTCTTGGAAAAGTCTTCTACTTCTATTTTCATTGGCAAGAAGTTTTTAAAACATTTACATCAGGGCAGAAAATTATGCCTGCACAAAAAACTTTCAAACCAAACCTAGTGCTAAATTATTTTACTCATTTATCCACCGTATGAGAAAAGTTTCCTGTATTATTTATTTATGTTATCTAAAAACATCAGCAAGTATGTAAGACTAACTGCTGTATCTGCATTACATGTATTTGTACATTGAAACAAATATAACAACTGTGTATTGTTTTAGCAAACTGTAAAATATACTAGGAATAGGATAAAATATCACTGCAACCTAAAGCAAATACAGTATTTGGCCACAAAAATTAGTTCCCAATTCTGCAGGTCTCACCTTATACATAGAAATAAGCATACCAACTAGTTGCAGGCTTTTATAAGGATTGTTTTTACTTCTTTTTCCCTTCTCCCTCCCACCTCAATGGCATTTCTGCTTCTCTAACTTACGGTGTAGCAGTCTTACACTAATAAACTTCTAAGTCTTTCCATTTGATAAATGTGAATAACTCTTCTTCGCACGGCACTGTCATCTGCCCTGGCTCACAGGTAAACCACGTTCTGGCTGCCAGCACTGTGCTCCATATGGCTTACAAGGCTGTACAGGTGAGTAATAATGGGATCATTCAGCAAATGGGTTTGGTGACCTCCAAGTCACAGAGCACTCCTCCTCTTCTCCAGAGAACGCTGGAGCACTATTAGATAATACTAGCATTGAGTTAGGTATTATCATTTATGTTTTAGTAGTGTATCAATCCCTTCTTTAGATAAAATTATGACTGTCAGCATTTACTGTTAGGATGCCTTTCTAGATTTCATTAAGGCCAATTCCAAACAAAATAGAACAGAATTCAGCACAAAAAGTTTCCATTATTTATCCCTTTCATGAATCATTTAACGACTTCATGTCAGCAACTGAAAACATTCATGTTGATCTCATAAAGAGCAGACAATGTATTATGCATGCTGCCCGCTGATGTATCCTCTCAGAGAGACTCTTGCAGGCCACTTACCAATACCGCCGCTTGCTGTCTAAAAATACACATAGAAGTACTTCTAGAGTATATAAATAAAAAATAATTGCCTATGGTTCAAACCAGCAGACTGTTAAAAACAATATTCTGAGTGACATCAGCTGGTACCAGATGCTTCAGAGAAATGTATCCTTGAGTGGACTATTCTGAAGCAGTACATCCACTATTGAAAAGTCTTCCTAAACTCTGTCTTAGGCTGGCTTATTGATGGAAGTATTTGGCTTTTCTCATTCTTAAAATAAAATCCCATCCTCTCTCCCCCCCAGCTCTCCAACTAACAGCACACATTACCCATGCAAATAGATATTAACTTTTTTTGGTTTTTAAATCCTATTTGGTCTTCAATCAGAATCATTTTGTAGTAACAAGCCCTACAACGCTGTCTCTTTAGGAAGGTAAGGGCAAACTGCACTTCATGTAACTTCCATGACACACTGGAACACACTGCCCAGGGAAGTCGTGGATGCCCCCTCCCTGGAAGTGTTCAAGGCCAGACTGGACAGGGCTTGGGACAACCTGGTCTGGTGGGAGGTGTCCCTGCCTGTGGCAGGGGGTTGGAACCAGATGATCTTTAAGGTCCCTGTCAACCCAAACCATTCTATGATTCTGAAGTCGTTGACTTGCTAGTCAAAGACCACCACAGCAAGGTTCGCCTACAAAGGGAGGGCATTTAGTTTCTGAAGATCAGAACTCCTCAGGTCTGGATCTAAGAGAAATTAATTTTTTTTACAAAGGTGACTTTGTAAAATGTCAGCAAGATCCACAGGATTATCCATGTGTGAATTATTCAGGAATAAGCATGCACGGAATCAAGAACTTAGCATTTACAAGAATCGTTTTTCCTTGCATTTCTTAACAAGTAATGGAAAAGATAGGATGTATTTTAAACTACAGAATCACAGAATGGTAGGAGTTGGAAGAGACCTCTGCAAATCATCTAGTTCAACCCCTCTGCCAGAGTAGGATCACCCAGAGAAGATCACACAGGAATACGTCCAGGCGGGTCTTGAATGTCACCAGAGAAGGAGACTCCACAACCTCTCTGGGCAGCCTGTGCCAGTGCTCTACTCACAGTAAAGAAGTTTTTCCTCATGTTTAAGTTGAGCCTCCTGTGTTCAGTTTGTGACCATTTCCCGTTGTCCTGTTGCTGGGCACAATCAAGAAGAGTCTGGTCTCATCCTTCTGACCCCTGTCCTTTAGATATTTATAAGCATTAATAAGATCTCCCTCAGTCTCCTCCAGGCTACACAAGACCCAGCTCTCTCAGCCTTTCCTCATATGGGAGATGCTCCAGTCCCCTCACCATCTCAGTGGCTCTACGCTGGACTCTCTCCAGTAGTTCCTTGTCCTTCTTGAACGGAGAGCCCAGCATTGGACACAGTATTACAGATGTGGCCTCACCAGGGCAGAGCAGAGGGGGAGGAGAACCTCCCTCGACCTACTGGCCACATTTAACGTACCCCAGGATGCCATTGGCCTTCTTGGCCGTGAGGGCACATTGCTGGCTCATGGTCAGCTGCTGTCTACCAGGACTCCCAGATCCTTCTCCCTTGAGCTGCTCTCCAGCAGGTCAGCCCCCATCCTGTACTGATACATGGGGCTGTTCTTCTCCAGATGCAGTGCCCTACACCTGCCCTTGTTGAATTTCATCAAGTTTCTCCCTGCTTTCTTAAAGTTTCTTCCAGACTGTTCAGGTCTTGCTGAATGGCAGCACAGCCTTCTGATGTGTCAGCCACCCCTCCCAGCTTTGTATCATCAACAGATTTACTGTGGGTACACTCTGTGCCGCTGTCCAGGTCACTGATGAATATACTAAACAGAGCTGACCCAGTACCGATCCCAGAGGAACACCACCAGCCAAGGGCCTCCAACTGGACTCTGACCCCACTGACAAATTGTTCTAAGACCAATTTTATTGCCACTGTAATAACCCTGCTTAAATAACAGCCAGTTATTTTCCAATGAATAATGCAAATAATTATTATGTTACTCAGTTATCAGGATGATGATTATTGCATTTTATGGTTTAAAAAAAAAAAAAAAGGCCTAAAAAAACCCCAGCAAACCAAAATCCAACTTAATCAAAACTCTCTAGCAGCAACAGCTTGTACTGTGCTATTTAACTGGCTTTACTCCAGTAGCTTAAATTTCAGAGTCAGCTTTATGTAGAAATGCAGTAAGTGAAAACCAGGAAAAAAAAATCCCACACCTACAGCTGTCACCTAAAATTAAACACAACATTTTTCTCCAAATCCCAAGTCTACTTTCAAAAAAGTGCCATGTGATCATATTTAGCTACTGCATTGCATTTAAGAACCTATTTCATCTGCAACAGATAAACTAAATCCTTTCATTCCAACACATAAGAAAAAAATTTTAAAAAATCAAGAACAGTGAAAACCAGGTATAATTATCTACAGGTCTCCAAGCAGTTGTTATTTCACTTTAAGAGCAATCTATAACTTTGTAACATTTTCTTTTTGGTCTTGATAAAATTTGCAACATAGGCAAAAAGGAATAAGCTACACATATCCTGGAGGTAGAAAAGCTCCGCTCTAAAATAGACACACTTGTGTTAGAACTATGTAGAGAGATATGCGCTATTGAAACAGTAGGTGATCTTAACCACTTCCGAGAGATTGATTAAATGGCTCCAATCCAGTTTAAAATGCTTCTCATTTTACTGAGATACTCAGCAAACATGACAACAATATTCCATGCCCGTAGCATTTTTTTTTTAAACCGGTCAAATTTTAAAGCTGTAATAACACAGCTTATAATAGATTATAAAAAACCAAAAATACTTTTTTTAAAAAAGTAGTTACAAAGAAACATTCTCATAGTGTCACATACTGCTCCTCATTAGAAAGGTCCTGTGCTAAGCAAATGTACTTATTTCAATAACCAGCATGAGGCATTAAGATTAGATAACTGGATGGTATTCTTGAAAGTTTACTGATTACACTTGTATTAGCATAGCTATAGAAAGGGATTAACTATTTTTAGCACTTATAAAATAAACAGCATGCAAGAAAGTAAACAGTAAAAATGTACTTACAAAATCAAAGTCTCCATCTTGAGGGACTTTCCAGTTATCAGGGAAAACGTTTTTGGATATGTGGTAAGGTTCATGCACATTCTGATTACAGTTTTCAGGGCTTTTATTCTTGGAATCCTGTTTATCAAAGTAGTCCATGAAAGAAGGTCTTTGAACTTGTGGTGAAGTAGCATTTCCTTAGTTGAAAGAAAAATGAAATAAAGGTATAAACTACTTAAAAATCAAAGATTTGCTGCACTGTGAAATAAACTCAATTTCTTAATTTTCTTGAAATTTACAGAAATTAATAGTCATCTGTATGTGGTGCAAGCCTCCATTTGTCCCCTGAGGATCTTTGGCATAAAAGCTCATAGCCAAAGAATGATATTTTTGTAGTACAACACAATGTGGAGAAATGTTCAAGACATTTCAGAGTTGCACACACAAATAATATTAGAAGTTACTTCATGTGACATCTATTTGTTGCTATGGAGACTGAATAACACAAGGTGTTAAGCATCCCTTTGGGTGCTCCATGTTCTGAACTTCAAGGCCTGGTTCACAGACACTTGTAGGAAAGCAAGAGAGTTCCATCAGTTTCACCAAAGGTGTGATTTTAAAATTATTTAGAAAAAGAACTTGCAAAAAACCAGCCATACAACTGTGTCTACACACGGCTTAATCAAATTCATTGCCAATCAGGATTCCCAGCAAGTTATGGGATCACGCTCTACAAGTGGCTGCAAAGCACTCTGTCTCCATGGTGTAGAAACCCTGGGGGATTTCTGTCATCCTCTATGTGGCTGCAAAAGCTTTACAAAGCAGATCAGTGTGAACTCCTGTTCTATTATCCTTTTCATGAAACTAAATGGAAAAAAAAATCTACAACCCTAAATGACTGAAATTTGTTTTCATTTGTGGGATTTCAAAGCAAGTTCTTTACTAAATAGAGCAATAAATAAAACATAGAAGTTGCTTTAGTAGTTCTACGTAACTGTCACCTCAGAGACTATATTCTGCATAGCACTGAATCATGAAACTTGCACTTGCTTGCAGTGTAACACATTCTACACTGAGAAATATGAAATACATTTCCACAAGTGAAATATGCAACAGGATAAGAAATATAAATAACCAAGCTAAAAGAAAGCAAAAGGAAAAAAACTAACTAAACAAAAAAAAAAACAACCAAAAAAAACCCCAACCACAGGTAGAACTATACTTTTAATTCTAAGCATAATAAGATAATTAGGTATTTTTACTTGAACTATTTTAACAAATGAAAAGGAAAACCACTGGGAATATTTTTTGAGCTTGCATTTAACATGATCACTAGGACTTGCTGATCTTCATATCTGGCTTCACATTTATTTTCATTAATTTATTAAGTCTTTTTTTGTTCCACTCCCCTTTCACCTCTTATTTCATCATCTCTTCCTCTGGTAACTCCCTTCCTCTGTCTCAAGACTTTTTAAATTCATTCTACGTTTGCTGCATGGTTAATAGCAGCCTGGTTTTTTCATTAATGCTTATTTTTGTACTGCCATCTTTTATAGCATATTGACTTGTTCTTTTCTTTCTGCTTTTTCTACATCACTCTGTTCTAATAAGGTTTCTTCTGGCTTTTTGAATGTGGTATCCTACTGACTTGCTCATGCTCTAGGCTTTGCTGCCCTTGACTCCAGTTGCTTCTCTTCAGCTCTACGATGATTCCTCCATCCAGTCTGCCATGTTTCCATACACACCTCATCCTCCCCACATTTTTTAAGCTACTTGTTGCCATATCCTTTTCTAATATTCTTTTCCAATCCCAGATCATAATTATCTCTAGTTACCATCTTTTAATTAATGACAACTACAACCATACAAAAACAGAGTGAACTAAACTCCAGACTGAGTTTAACAGACCACACAGGCCACAGTCCACAGTCTCCCAAGTTTGCCCCCACCGAACCCAAGATCACTTGAAGGAGGTTTCTGGATCTCTGGAGGCTGGGACTGAGAAAGGGATGAAAATAAACAGTAGGGAAGCCAAATAACTACAGAAATAAGCACTAAAGGGCAAAACCGAGAGAACCTAAACTTAGCAAAACATAAATTTAGAAAACAGATCCAAGAGAAGGTAGTAGTATGAAGAGGTAGAATTAAAAACAGAAATACAATGAATTTTCTTAATATAGACTTATTACTCGCTGATCACTGCCCCAAACCCCTGAAACTATTTGTATCAAAAAGATAGGACACCACATTGCCAGCCTTTCACAACCAATATTTCTTTTCTGCCGAGATGGCTGTACTTATGTTTCAATCCCGAGACATACTTACAAACAAGATCACCAGTGTCTCTGTTTGAAACTGAAGTACCAAAATGTGGGCCCATTACAGATACGATGGTCTCCCTCCTCTCATGTAACAGAAAATCCCAAAGATTTCCCAAGCACTGCTCTTAAGTTTTACAGCTATTTATAAATATCTTCCTTATATATGTAATACAAGACTGCCTACATACGTAAAACAAACCAGCTCCTCCAAATTCCTTGCTATCAAATGCATATTAAGAAAATGGGTCAGCAGGCCTAAACTTACACTGAAATGAGCAAAGCACATTTCCTTTACACTTTGAGGCCTTGTTTTCTTTGTTTTGATAAACAAGAATTGAGAACTCACTTCTGATTCCAATTTAGTACACAATTAGTGAACCCACTTAAAAGAACAAGAGCTCTACTCCTTCACTGCAAATATAAAAACTCACACACAAATCCAGAAACATGATGCCTGCAAGCCAATAGGACCAGAGGTGTTTCAAGGTTTGTTTTTTCTCCAGTGTAAAAAAAAAAAAGTAATATTACATTTAAATATTTCTTTTTAAGTTTTTATTTTATTTTTACAAATAATTAAATTAAAGAGACTCTTTTTTAGAACTCCAGCTAACCTAACACAAACAAGTTTAGTTGATATTTCATGGAAAACGGGATAGGCTGACACCTACTAGTTTAAAGGTCCTGCGAAGGCTCCCACCTCTTTTGAGTTTACTTTACAACACATTCATGCTCTGTATGTCAGAGTAAAATGTAGGGTTATTAGAAGATTATTTTGCTCTGAAAGCACTTGGGGGCGGGGGGAGGGTGGGAGGTTTTGTTCGGGGGTTTTTTTGTTCTGTTTTGTTTTTTACAATTTCCTACAGGAAGTCTCTAAGTTTTACACTCTGTTACTACCAGGGCACTGGACCTTCTCCCCAGCTGCAAATCTACAGAGGAAACCTTTCCCCCTCTTGCCAAAAGCCACAAACTTCCACAGCCTTCCCCACCCTGGGGATCTCCATCTGCCGCTCAATTGAGGAGCATTTCCAGCTGCTGCCTCTTCAGTGAAGTGAGGGGATCAGGCACTCCTGCCTGCAGCGCTGCTGTGAAGATCCTGTCAGTATTTTTAGTCCTTCAAAACATATTGCTTTGTCACTATTAGAGTGACGAACTGTACTGCAGTCATCTTTTAGACTTCTTGGGATGATCACCTCTACTACAAAGGCTACAACAACTTGTAACACCACCATATACTACTACTTAGGCTTTAGATTTCATACATTCCTACCACTACTTTCTCACTACAACACAGCGGCAGTAATTCTCCTGGGAAATGCAAGACAGGAACTTTAAATACAACGAGGTTGAAGAGAACCTGCAATTTTGATGTCAGTCTCCAGATGGTAACTCACTATTCAGTTCATTCACGTAGAAAGTCGCCACAGCCACCTCCTTCAGCCGTATTTTAAGCAAAATTGTGACTGTATTTTATGAACTTATTAGACAACCACCTCAGAGAATGGCAAAAGTCTACGTAGCTTCTGAATTGCAAGTAAGCATCACCAGAAACCAGATCACCAGTTCACTTGGCCAGAGCAGCTGGGGGGTCTACCAAAGGATGTATCCAAGCAATGTTTGACTCAAAAGCTGCGTAACAAAGTGGTTACTGAGTCTGCAGCTTTCCCATCACAGTGACTTGCGCACCCAAGTCTCCATGCAAATTCAGGCCTCATTCAGTACTTTGTTTTGTAATATACCTGCTTATCAGAAATAATTGCAACTGGCATTTAAACGGAAAATCCACATCTTTTTCAACCAGCTGAAGCCTTCATAGACTTTTTGAAGGGCTATGAACTCAAGTTTAAAGGCTTTATAATGGGGAAAATAGTTTCTTGTACAAAACACTGCTTTGCTTCCTGAGAAGGAGACTGATAAAACTCGTTTCAAAACTGTTGTTCTATTTTTCCACCTGCTGGAAAAGAAGAAAAAATACTCAATGACACTACTTATTATAAACTCATTAATTCATTCCAGCTGAGTTATACTTTTTTCTGCTTTCAGCAAAACAAAGATAATCCATGTTACACTAGCATTTTCCAGCAGCTCTTGAAGCTGAATTGCCAACATGATGTTTTTCTTTGAAAAAAAATCCTATTTGTAAGACATACTACTAGTAGAAGCATAAATGTCTCCCAATCACAGGAGAGGGCTCAAGGACTGGAATAGACTTCTAAATAAACCCTGTTAACACGGGCACAAGTAAACTTGCTTGAAACAAACTACATCCATGAAATATTAATGCCTGTGTGCAGCACCACCGAAACCAGGCCATAATTAAACTTCCCTGATGAATTCCTATAGGACCTGGGCCATAGGTTGTTATAAAACGCATATCAATAGCTTTTTCTTTTCAGTTGAAAAATCAGCTGCAGGACTTAAACCTTTCTAAGAATTATGAAGAATCACTCCAGAGCCACAATTACTCCCAAGCATCCACATCCTATTACAGAGGAGACTGACTTACAGTAGGGCATGATCTCTTACACTGGATGGACTGAAATATCTAAAAATAATAAATAAATAAAACCAACTCATTCTCCTTTCAAAATGTAAGTACAGCATGGTGCATGTCCAGCTGTAATCAAGGATCCCATAATACAGTAACTCAAGAAGGTTCAGCGAGTGAGTGCTGGAACCAAACCTGTCACTTGCCACGTGAGAGATGAAACCATCACTTGCCACCAGTGATGGCTACCTCCAGTCTGCTGGTCTTCCCTCACTGGTGTTACAGGTTTCAGGACAGTCACCTGTGGAGGAAGAAGCCTGCTGTCCCAGACTATATTCTTCTGTTTAATAAGCAGCTGAACAAAAGTAGTGATGCCTTCCACTAATCCCACTCTTTCTTCCACCCCACATTAAGCCTCCTGAAGTGAAGCTCTGTCCTCCCACCTCAGTATTCCGCATTTTTATCTTTCCTTCTAGGTACCTACTGCATAGACTCTGCTCAAAGCACTCACAGGCATACTAAGCAAGAAGGCATAAATGTTGTTTATCACTAGGCTGTATATTGTATGTTGGGGTGAGATGACAGGCCTCTTTTTGTTCCAAATCCCAATTCTATCTGGGCATAATTCCCTATTTGTGAAAAAAAGAGATGGTTTTAGTTATTTTCTGTCATGGCTCCCAGAGGCCTCTAAGCATGGGCACTTAGAAATGAAAACTTTTTTCTTCTTATTTTGTCCTTGAACAGGGAAACAAAAGACAGAAGGAAACAACGTGAAACTAAACATAAGAGCAATTAAAAACCCAAGTTTGTCATAAATACTTTATGTCTCTAGGAAGGAAATGAAATACCTCTTCCCTAGTTAACTAAGTTTATTTCTCTAACCTTTTTGCTTGCAATGATCAATTATTCAGGACTATCAAGAGTACTTTTAAGCTACCTGTACAAATGTCTAGAAATACCTAGAAAGCACCCACCTTGCCTATAAAGACACATTAGGAAAAAACAACCGATTTCCAAGATCTTGTGTCTTTGTCAAGCACAAAATCTATGTCTGCCTCTCAGGGAGAGCAAGGATTTTTATGTCCCTTCTTGGTGACATTTATTTAGGACATTTCCTATTGCTCCTGTTTCAGCCAATAGCACGTGAATCACAGAACCAGAGGAGGACCAGCTACAGTAGATGTGGTTTCTATTTCTTTTCAGCTGAGATATGTGGAGGTCCCATTCTTGAATTATTTCTAGTTTTTAATCAAAGGGTGTCTAACACAAAATACAAGAAAGTTCAGCAAGAAGGTGCTGGAACCAAACCTGTCACTTGCCATCAGGCTACCTCCAGTTTGCTGGCACTACAGAAGTCTCAAGACAGTCACATATGGGGGCAAGGGAGGGAAAGGAAACCTGCTGTCCCAAAGATTATATATTCTTGTTTGACACGAAGGAAGAATGGGTTTAAGAATTATACTGACTAAATGCCAAGGTATAGAAAAGTAATTTCTTTTCTAACTACAGATGGTTACTGGAATGAATTAAAAATGAAAAGTAATGGTACAGTTTAAAAACAACGTCTCCAGCAACACAGCAGACAAATACGACATGGCTAAGACACTGCAGTGCAAACATAATGACACTTTTGTGATCTGTGTGGCACACTGACAGGTATTTCCTCTCAGTACATATAAAAACTACACAGATATTGTTAAGTCTGAAGTGATTTGAAAGGTCGTGCAAAACCCTACTTCTTAATACTCCCAACCCAAGAATTACTTTATTATTGTTTACTACAAATTTGCTTGGAATATCTGTCTTTAATTTTTTTTTGCATCTTTCATCTTTTCCTTAACTTGTTGAAATGGATGAATCTGAGACTGCCTGTACTAACCCTCCATTAGCCTCACAGTTTAGTAGGCAAATGCTCCGTTTCAGTATGAAAACAGAATAAATCATGTACTGAGTGTTTTTGTGAGGTGAATCATCCTGCTTAAAGTAATCACTAACCAACAGGTATGTTTGCTATCCTATTGCTGACAACACTAGAAAAACAACCCTAAACACAATGAAACAAAGCACAAAAACAACCTCAATAACAACAACCACCAACAAACCCCCACTTTTCTTCCAATTTGCTGTGCATTAAACCACAAAGCAAGCATATTCCTGCTTTGCACTTCCAACTGATCTTGCACAAGTTACATCAAGTGTGTATGTGCAAACACAAATGCAACTTCATGTTTGCCCAAAAGCATTCAACAAAGTTATTTATTTAGCACTGATTTCCACTCTTGAGACATTTGCTTTAGTTATTACCTCCCCTCTCCACTCCAAACAATTGCCTGGAGTGAAACATTACATTGTGTCTCATGAAATCAGGCACCTACAGCTTGAGTTAGATTCATCTACTGATGCTGCCCATTCAAGCAAATAATTCCATTAAATTCAGTGGGCCTCATCCTGCAGCAGTCTTCAGGCAAATAATGAGCACAATGGTAAATATGTACTTATGCATATTTCATGGTAACTTATAATTTTATACTTTAAAACATTTGCATTTTTTTCTTCTTGTCATGTACTCCCTTGCACGCTGCTGAAGTCAATTTGGACTTTTTACTTAGGTTTCAATGCTCTTTTGATTGCCTTAAATGAAGCATCATTGAATTACAGTACAACATCTGTTCAAATAATAACAGTTATAAAATTAAAACCTGCTAATTGATCATGAATTACAAAACAAGTCACCTTTTTCTCCGCAAACCAGAGAGCACTTAGAGACACAAATACCCTGTTCCTCCTGTTTTAACCATAGAACTTGATGCTTAAAAGCCACTGACGATACAACATTCTTATGCAGCATGAGAAAACATATCACGTTATTAAGAGAAAAGTAAATAACAACATACTTTTCATGGTCCCATCTTCCTCTTCATCGTCATCACTGTTTATTACCATGGTCCCCAAGTCCGATTCTAACATAGTACTGTTGTGTTCAATCATTGTCTGAGCGCCTTCACTCATCGTGCTTGTGGCCCTCATGGTACCAGCACTCTCCGAACTGGTCTTCACCATGGTGTGAGAGTCCAGCTCATCTTCATCCTACAAAGAAACATTTGTCAGGATGTAAGAGATCATTTAAATAAAGCAAAGTTAAGAAGCAATCATTTAGATATTTATTCATTAGTTTTGTATTTTCACATGACCTAGCTGGACTACTAGACTTCCAGATTTAAAACATTAAAAGAAATTACAAAATTTAAAATTGCTTACATAAAGAATGAATAAAAATTTTCTTCTCTCTCACAGATGCACAGCAGGATGAGTATATCAGAAATGTGGTCCACACACCCACTTTGCATCAGCAGCCAGTTCTTAGTATCTCAGTGATTTTCACGATCCATTATACCTCCTTGGATTCCAAAATCAGCACCACATTAAATAGAACGTGACTTGGTTGTTTTGCAATGCACTGTCACCAAGGATTTGTGTTGATCATCCTTAACTAAATACCATACCCAGCATCTTATATTACGCACAGCACCCAGATGACAGACACCTGTTCAACTTAGATATTAAACAATCTCCCAAAACCGTTTTGGAGGAAGTCCCCCTCAGAAACAGAAAATCAACTTGGCTCACATCAAGTATTTAGTTCTCTTTAAAAACCTCTGTCACAAGAGTGAGCAAAATAACTTGTAGATACTATGCAGAAAAATATCTGTAAAGCACATAATTAACCACTAAGTGGGTGGGAGAGCTCATATAATGAAGAAATACAACAGTGTTTTGAATCGGCGACAATAATGGGCCAGGAATGTAAAACAGAGACCTAATGACAATCCAGTGAATGGAGTTACACAATTCACATAGAATACCAGTATTTGGAAACGTTAATGAGAAGCCCCATGCCTAATCTAAATCTGATTTAGCTTATACGCACATCATCACAACATTTCAGGAATTATGTGGTGGACTATACACATTTTCTATATAAGTAAAACCTACTGCTCAAGAAAAAAGGGAAAAAAAAACCCAAAAAAACAAAACCACAACTAAATAAAAAAAAAAGAACCAGAAAAACAACAACTAAAAACCCCACACAAGCTCAAAAATCCTACAAGGTCTGGCACTTTATTTCTTACTGAACTCGTTCCTTTCCTTTCCTGTTATTCCCTGACACAGCAGACAATTTGTCTCTGGTATAAACATACATGAGCCAGCTACACTGCCCGAGTGCCTGTTTTGCTAATGGTTGGTCTAAGCAGATATTGAGAATTGTAGTTAGTAGCAACAACAGTACCCCAGCTCCAGAAAATTATTCTATTACATCTCACCTAAGAGACACAAAAATAGATCTAATTTTGATTCAGCAATTTTGGCTAACAGCGCAATGTACTGAAACCATGATACAAACCTAAATCCGTGATTAGAATTTCAAATGTCAAAAGCATAATTATTTTCCAGATTATAATCTGGAAAAATATGAAAGTTCTTAATGTGCATTCTTTCTAGGTTTTTTTAGTTGCATTTTAAACACTATATTCAGTACCCTATCATTAAAAAATTATTATATTCCCAAAGATAACAAATAGTTTACAGCGACAGCACTAGAGGACTGTGCCGGTAAATAAAAGAGAATATTTTAGTAGTGCTCCTCCTGGTGGCAACTTTAACTTTCTTTACTTCTTCCCACCCCTGCAACGTTCTTGCTCACCCCCAGTAGTTTTTACAAGTTAGAATTTTCGCTTCCTAAAAATGGCACTTGGAAAGTAAAGTCCAAAAGTGTCTTTTTGCATTGCATTTTAAAAGTGTATTTAAAAGTCAAGTTATTATTTTCAAGTGCTTCTTTCAGCACTGCAATACAACGCAAAACTGGCTCACAACGCACTATTTCTCCTATTAAGTGCTACAGATCTGGCATCTCTAACACACAGGCAGGCAAATCTTCGAGCTTAAGGCACAGTTACATTTGATTTACAGATTTTCCTGACTAATATTAAGTCACTGCATTGCAGTGCATATGGTCCTAAAGTTACTAAAACCGAAATCAGAAATAAAACAAATATTTTCCTGAGGCTTAAAAGTTTTAATTTAGATGCTAGTGAAAAAAGATGGCTAAAAATAAGTGTAAGTATGAAGTGCAATCCTAAGTGACCATTTTCATATCTTCTGCTTCATTAAAAACACTGCTATTTTATTTCTTCAGTCAAATCAAGCTCCTGGATTTGTTCCAGAGAATAGCAATTCATTTGCCAGTCTAAGAGCATCAAAAGCCTTTATCTTACTCCTGTCTCTCAGCAAAGTTATCTTCTAGTGCCTACAGGACTAGGGATCACAAAAGCCCACCTCAGTACTAATAGAACAGCTATCCCAAAGAGGGAAGTACACGACACGACAATTTCAATCAATAGTCTTTTCCTTAGATCAGGAATGATGTACTGAGGGAGAGCAATATAAAATTTTGGGGGGGACTGTGCATGCCCCTAAATAATTAATTTTGTGGGTTAAGCCAGATTGCTTCCAGAGCTGCCATTCCAGTATTTCTCACAAACATAAGACTTAGCTAACACAGCAGTAGACTACACTGGATCAGAAAAAAATAACTTCATAAAAATATTCAGTGGACCAAGTTATGTAAGTGCACATTTACACAAGAGACGAAAGCAATTCCTTTGTATGAATTCTGATTCATTCTTTACAGTTCCTAAATATTGATGGAACACTTCTGATCTGTTGTTTAAAAAGGCAAACTCACTGATTAAATGAAAACAAACACAATCTCAATTGTAACCAGAAAAAAAATATGTTATTAAAACTGAAGTGTCATGTTCTCTTATTGTTTATGAAAACCGATCTAAGAACCAAGCAATAAACCCAGCTAATTCCAGAATTAAACTGTCTGCCGTTCTCTTGCGTACAAGTAACAGGTACAAACTTGTATTTGACAGGGGTTTCTGATACACGCAGTAGACAGCAACAGAAAGAGCGCATGAGTGAGAGCTCTAATACCTCCTGAAATGCTATGGAAAATACAATAAACTTCAGAAACTCTGAATAACATTACAGCGTAAAGCAAGTACAAGTAAAACATTGCCAATACCCTGCAGCCTCATGGGCCTCACTGTTTGGATCTCCTTATTTACCTAAATAAGTGCGAAGATTAACAAAACCAACCTTTAAAGCTTGAAAATGCAGTCATTGAGACTTGGATACCACAGCAGCCAATTCAAAAAGATTTCAGCAGAAACAGCACACAAGACCTCACAATAAGCTTGTAACATAAAAGATCTCATCACCACATGAGAAGACGGCCTTACACAACATACCCGAGTTTACAGCATGATAGAAGCGAATAAGCTGAGGTGATAAAGATTAATGGACTTTTCTGTTGCATTTTTAACATTCATAGGGGAAAAAAGGCATAAAGAAAGATAAATAAAAGAACTAAATAAGACGAGCAAATATAGCAGCTTGCCTTTAAAATCTCTAACTACGGTTTGTGCATGTAAAAAGAACACTAGAGGGCACCAGAGACAGCTAACTGGCTTGCAGTACATTAAAGGAAGATTTACATGCTGGCAAAATTTAGTATCCTGTAAAATAATTTCATTTACTATTAACACTTCATCATCACCTTTGAAAAACGTGGCTGTAGTCACAGCTATCTTTCTGTAAAAGCACGGTAGTAGCTACATAAACACAGAGGAACAAGGATTTTGTAAGAGTTCCTAACGTGTTCAGAGCTCAAGTACAACCCAAGCACATGCATGGCACTGAGCACACATTTAAGTTTAGACCCAGCAGCAAAACAGGTAAAGACTTAACTTTCACCACACACTCAAATCCCATCAAATTCAATAGATGTATGACATGAAACAGTGTATAAGCTTGTTTTTTATCACCTTCTAAACGATCCATCTAGTACCGAGGAATTGCTGCTTACAAGTACCTCATTATGTTTACTCCTGTAATCGGTTTCTGGGTCTAAATTGCTATGGATTTTAACAGGATGCTCTTTATAAGTTGTTTATGCCCTTGGGTAACTATATTTCACTTGACAAAGTCATCTTTGAATATTTCTAACTTCAGGACACTTAAAGGACTGCATTCAAATTTAATTAGCACATATGACAAGTGTACTTTGGCTTAAAGGAAAAATGCTATGAAAATAGAAAGCTGCAATGCTGTCATGCAAAGTAACATACATATAAACAGACGTACATAGATACATTATATACATACAAACACATGAAAGATGCATGAAAGTGAATATAAAATCCTTCAGAAAAACACAGCTTAGTGTACCAGATTTAAGATACAGAGTAACTCAAGTGATTCACTAGTTCCTTTAAAATTACATAAATATTGTAAAAATAGAAAGGAATAATTACAGCAATTATTCCTTACTGTCTCAAAATACAGATGCCAACTTCTCATAATTAATACATGACTAATCAAAGCAACTGTTTTATGAACTAACAAACAAGCCCACATAGAGGAATAATTGATTATTGACAGTTGGCTAAGTTGTTGATAGCTTTCAACCACAGTGTCTAAAACAAAAACGGAGTACTAAAGGGCTAATTCCACGCGTGAATACTCTGAAACAATTAAGCATTCCTCACATAATACGAGACATTAAAATGTAAAAGAAAACATACAGGAAGAGCTGTTTGTTAGCTCATTCCTTTAAAGATCCATAGGAATAAATATTTAGACATGTTTCCTGCGAGCTGCCAGGCAACGAGTTACTTTACATTCCCATAATACAGCTGCCCAGCCTCAGCATCCAATTCACATCACACTTCAGAAAACGCAAGAGAGAAGAGATTGGTCATGTTTAGTAGTGCCTAAACTAATATTTAAACTTTGATACTGGTATTAACTTTCTGTAGAACACACCACTCGCAATTTTTGCTTAATTAAGAAAACCTGTACAATTACCTCACACCTATCAAAGCATGCCAGTTTGTCAGAAGGCATTCTCATCACACCAGCAGTTCTCGTAACAGGCAGAAAATTAATTCAGAGTGCACTGTTTAGAATAATATTATATCTCTCTGGAAGGATACAGACATTAAAACTGTATTCAGCCTGGCCACTTCTTTATAGCTGTATAATACCAATTTTTGAACAGCAAAAAATATTTACATTGCAACTGACAACTATAAAATGTTCACAAAAAGCGGTAAAAAATAAAAATAAGAACCAATTTTAGGGATGTATAAGAACCTACTTTAGGGATGCAACTCTTCACTTGAGGGAAAACAACCTGAATCGATACTGAAAATTAAGTATATAACTGTGAAATCTTTGCATCTGATCAATTCTCTGAAACCACCCACTCCTCTCCATTCTACTTTCAGTTACATAGGTCACTTATAACCTGAGTGCCCACTACAATACATAGATGGCTTTAAAAGGGAATTTGAAGTATAAAAACTTAATCAAATTTAACTGTAAGGGTAAAGTCTGGTTTCCTAGCAGAAAGAACATCATACTTAGAACATTTTACATACTTCTTCTTGATGGGTCCCAAAACACGTACCAGTAAGTAATGAGCACAACTGCTCATGCTTTACACATAGGAAATACTTGGGGGTTTAGATCAGTAAATTCAAGCCCCTGACAAGTTAACTGAAACCCTTCTTTTTCAACAGTATATGGACTCAATTCACTGCCCATGAGAGACCTTTAACATTGATAGACTCACTTAACACTAACGTAAATATTTGCTCCTGTCTTTAGGTGTTACTAAATATGCATTTCTCCAGGCTTAAGTCTGCCTTCGCACTTCTGCGGTTAGAACATCACAGAGATGTCACTGTGGAAAAATACACTTTTAATGTATTGTTTTCCAAAATTTATGTGCTAGGTAGCTATTACTTTCCAACTGAACAGTGCCTCCAATTCCATAGACCATCTGAAAACATTTATATAAATAAATTATGAAGAAACATAAGCATGACTTACTGTCACTACTACTACCTTTCTGGGACTGTCGTTATCTCTTTCCAGTACTGCTGCCATCATTGCATGTCAGCTTATCAAAACCTGTATTATCATTTGAACTGTATGTTCATGTAGTCACGCAAAATGCACATAAGCAGCCCTGTATTTCTTCATGGTTCTGTGGAAACTGGTACATCAGAAGGAGGAATGTGCAATGGTTATTTATCTTTATCCTTGAATGTTGGACTGCTGACTGTATCCACTACAGTACTCCAAACTGGCATAGTTTGTAACTACTGTAAAACGTTTGTTCTGCTGTTTCCTAGTTTGGCTGGTTTTCTGCTTTTAACTGATCAGAATCTTTAGTGACTGCAACCGGACAAGATGTTGGTGTCATCCCTCAAATTATTCTGGAATTTCTTACAATAATATACTGCATTGAAATTCAGTTGCAAGACACAGAAGTCTATGACAACCAAAACATTATTGAAACCAGTTTGGAAGATTATGCACTGTTACAGCACAAAAGCTATTCATAGGTCACTACCAAACATGGAGTTTTGACAAACTGTATTTGTCAACAAGGAAATTCCGCCTTACCCCACCATCAGTATTCTTCATTTCATTCACTTGTACCTTCACTTCTTCTATTAAAGCTAAGTACGTCCCTGCTCACTGCAGGAGGCTTGCACTAGACCTGTAAGGGTCCCTTTCTGCCCAATGCATTCTATGATTCTGTGATTTCCAAACTGTTTTCACTCAAGTCTTACCAAGCAATACAACATTATTAAAGGCATACATTTACTGACAGCAGACTACCAAATATCACATTAACAGTTTCAACAAAAGTAAAAATTTCATCCTCATTATAAGCCTTATCACAATTATTGTTTAGAATCATAAAACCATATGAAAACTTAGGGAATTATAGCATCTTGACAGCATAAAAGAATAAACAAAAGTATTTTTTTAAATAGGAACATAAGTTCCTTTTTACTTAATCTTTTTATAACAGCAAACTTTTTCAAAAGTTTAACTATTCAATATTAGACTTACAGCAAAAATACCTGGACATCTTGTCCATTACAAGATATTTTTGCAGTAGTAAACACATGGTGGCTTATAGTTTTCCTTTGACAAAGCTGAAGGAGCTAAAGACGGAAAAAAAAGGCACAGAACTTCTCCAGAATTATCTCCAGGAGTAATGAAATTTATCTATCCATGATCAGGATAAAAAATATGAAACTATCACACTGACAAGCACCACTTCCCATTTTGCCAGCAGCACCAGCTAGTACTTTTCTTTGTTTGCTCCGTTCACAAGCGGCGTATCGTATCTCCTTCTTATCTTTGCATGGGGACTTTCTCTATATTTGGAACTTCCCTCAAGCTCCTCAAAGAGATCTATTCCTTCCCCCTACTGAAGTCTGCAAGAATGATACAAACTATTTTGAAAAAAGCATGCATTTTATCTGTGATAAGCAAAGCTGACCTTTGTGGGAGAACTACAGTTAAAACTCCCAACCACCTTACCATGGTGTTACAAACACATCCTCCAAACTACTGTGGCTACAAATGCACTCTTAGGTCTGTAGCAAATATAAGACAGCCTGACTTACCTTAGTCCACAGTGAATTTGACTACAGACTATTTGTGTAGCCTGGTCTACCACTGCACCTCTCTCACAGCAAACAACAGACATAAGATTGTAAAGGTTAACCTTTCTGTGTTTTCCCCAAAGAAACAGTTACAATAATCTGTTAAGCAGAGTTAGAATGTGTAGTTCAAGCAGTCACCACCCCTTAGCAATATGCAGTAACCACCTACTTGTACTCTTAAACTTGTCCACTTATGCTCTAAAACAATTAAGGGATAGTTTGCATCCATCTCTTTTATGCTTTCAGCCTACCTTCAGTATCACTTTAAGTCCATCCTCCTCTCTCAGCCCTGCTAAGCAAAGATACTCTGTGATTTTCAGATTTGAGGGATCTATCTTTTATATTTAGTGACAAGCTGAGTCTGATTGACTTTTAAACTCAAATCTCCTCCCTGACTGCACCATAAAAGCACACGACAAAACTCCTATCTTCTGCAATGTTAACAGAAATAACAGATTCCTGCCCTAATCCTGGATTTGAGGTTCCCTTATACTAAACACTGAATAATCCAGGAAAACAAAACAAAACAAAAACCCATGCAGTGTTACATTCAATTCTGAATTCTGCACCCATGCAGGAAGCATCCTAAATGTTGCTAAATGCTTCTTCAGTCAAGGTGGACCAAACCTGTGTTATACCCTTCCACCCAGCAGTGGGAGAGGGAAGGTGAACACCACACACCGAGCTGGCGGGGATTGTTTTGTACCTGCCTGGCAATCTGATTCCCCATCTGAACTCAGGCTAAGTAATTAGGTGTCATTCCTAATTTTGGGTTCATGCAACAGATGTCAACAACACCCAAGTATTTGAGGTCTACAGGTCAGATGACAATAGTAGGGAGGAAAGCACACTAGTAAAGACATTAGGTTTTTATGTCGGTCATAAATCAGTCTCTTCAGAGATCAACTACTTAATATATCAAGTCACAAACATCGACTCTGCATGTCAGGTCACACATCTCCACACTGGCAACATTTCCCAGTGTAAAAAATAATAATAATCCCAACCTTCCTTGCCTGTTTTATTACCAACTAAACAAATGCAATCCAGAATAAACCATCTTTATAAATACTAGCTATCAATACTCTCAGAACAGAAAAACATCCAGCAAACAAAATACCATATTGTCTGCTGGGATACTAAACCTTCCACAGAATCTACTTGAAAGGTATTCCTATATATAGATCATCACCTAACACTGTAACACATAACAAGGACTCTTCACTTTGGGATAGGGCAGACCGCATTTCTGCACCAAACTCTTCTGTTTGCTCAAAGCTGTAAGGTTTCTGCTAACATCCCAGCCCCCATCTTCTCTCTGTGTCATTCCTGAACAACCTTGGCTCTCATTGTACATGTGGCAATACATTTCTTTGAAGCACATATTGCTGCATTGCACAAGACCAACCTAAAATAAATCATGCAGGGAGAGTAATAATGCCAGGAACACTGACATATTCCTAACATTGCCAACAATTCTAAATGCAACTTATTTATCACACAACCTGCTTCTCTCCTCAAACGCACACTGACAACGTCATGTGAGCAGTGAAATGCTGTCACCACTTTCACTTTATAGGTGCAGCTTGATTCAAACCATATTGTAATCACTGCTTACTGTGCTTCATAACTATTCTGTTGTTAGACTCTACAAAAAACACAAAACAAAATATTAAATGCCCTGAACTGAGAATTAAACCACTTGTCTACAAGTCCATATGTGAAAGTGGAACCTTAGCAGTTTTTGGATTTTTTTATGTTAGTCTGAACAGCTGAAGCTAACTCGGTTTCTTTTCCCACCTCCTAGAAAAACCTTTTACTACGATATCTCAGGGAATAGTGCTGAAAGCTGGCTCATATGACGTTACTCACAGCTGCATTACTCAGCATAAATTAGAGTGGAATACTTAGCCCTCAGGCTAGAAACCAGGTCGAAACCTGGTAAAGAAAAATATTTGTATTTTCTATTTGTACAGGAAGTAGAGAAAAACAGCAGCTTATCTGTAAAGTACAGATAGTCATAGGGAAAAAAGGTACACACCGAATTTTCTTCCTCCTCTTCTAGCTCTCTCTGCTGTTCCTCATGTCGCTTTGCCTTTATCTCCATAGCTTCAGTGATCAGGTCCCTTAAAATTGAAACTGGCTTGGCATTCTTAATAAATGTATGCTAGGGAAAAAAAAAATATTATATAACGTCATCACAATAGTTACACTTCAGATGTAATTACAAGTATTATTAAACACCACAGATTTCAGTGATAAATAGTATTTTACATTACACAGCAATTAAGATCTACACTATCACAACATACAGTATCCTTTAGCTGCTTCATAACTAAGATTTTACTTTAGATATTTTTAAAATCAGCAAGCCTTGGGAAATGTAATCATATAGCAACTGTTTTATGGATAAAGATATAATTGTCCAAAGGAAACATGCAGTAAGTAGTAAATAAACAGAGTGGTGATTGTCTGACATAGAAAAGCAAACTTTTTCAGATATTCAGTTACAGGATTTAATTAATCTTAACAAACTGACAGCATAAATTAGTGGCTGTAAGCAGAGCAACCATGGCTGCCTACTTCATCAAACCTGTACTTCACATGTCATAAAACATTTCTTGATCTGTGATGCTGAAATGTGCAAGAAGCAAAAAAATACATTACCTTTAGCAGGAAAAATAATTTTTAATTCAAGTAGTTTAAAACATCACTTCTTCCTCTAAGACAACATGTGCATGATACCATTTACATTCATTATGCTGTCTAGTAAGCACCTGCTGTTAGAAAAATTCTGATTTTTGCATCATTATATGCAAACATAATTTAGGCAAAACATTAAGCACCTCAGAGATGTACTATTAAATATTTAAAAATTGTTCAGTGAATAACAGAATTGATGAAGTCTAGTGTCCTGCAACTATTATGTATCCTCTTTCTTGAAGTATTAATTCAATTACTCTCATTTTTCCTCCTTCCCCACAAGCAGTAATTTCATTCCCACTCACACACTCACAGCACCTCCAGCTCCATCACACAAGCCCCAAATTCCAGCTGGGGAAAATGCAACGTATACTTGTGCTGGACACAGTGTTTGGTTTTCTGGCCAGTAAGCACATAGAAAGAGGACCAATGAAGCTTTTTTATTTTCTTCTTACTTGCACACACTGATGCCAATCTGTTTTATTCAGCTGTCGGTATTCAGTTAACCATACAAACTTCAAATCTTTAAGGTCTCAAGTACAGATTAATACACCATACAAAAATCCGTAACTTTCAATTATTACCCTCCTTGTAGTCTACATTTTGGTGTTCTCATAGTGTAGAAAATAAAATATTCATAACATGACATGAATTTGATGATCTGTTACTGGAAACTACTTTGCAAAATTTTTCTATTCTCCTTGTAGTGGAGTTCACTGGGATTTAAATTTTAAAAGAGGCTATTGCTAGCTACAGACAGAATAATTCTAGCATGAGTGTCTTACAGATAAAATTTGAGAAGATCAGATGCCTAGGTATACTCATGAACAAAGAAAATTGAAAGTAGTAACTACCAATAGCACTGAAAAGCATAAAATAACACTAAATTATCAAAAAGACTAATGAATTTGGAATCAGGAAAGTAAAAGGAGAAAAGCACCTAGAAAAATTTTTCACTTCCGTCTCACTATCAAAGCAAGCTTATTTACAGGAAATTTTAGATTCCATTTCAGTTATCATAGAATCTATTATAGTTTTTTTTAGAAATCTTCCCCCGCCCCCTTCCACTACCTTTGTTCTTTGTTATTCCTTAGTTACCTGTAGGCTTATTATGACAGCCCTGAAGGCAGCGGTTAACACAAATACGGGGTCAAAGGAGAAAACCTTTGCATCATCTCTCTCACACACACACTAAAATGTGTTACCTCTACAAAATTATGTGTTTCACAAAGATTAAGTCTTTCTTTATAGATCAGTCCCTCCTGTTCCATTTTTGTAGTTCTTTAAAATTTCTTTGCTTTATTTCAACCTCAGCACCAAAAAGATGCAAGTGTGAAATGTCTGCAGCTACCAGAAGCTCAGGTCATCGAACAAGCGAAAGCCTGGCACACCCTGCCCTGGCTCCATAGGTCCACACTCTCAATTGTGGCTCGCATTTAAAAGTGCCCACTTGGCATAACTCAGCCAAAGAGCAAACTCCTTATACTGTCCATCAGCATCAGAGCCTTCTAGGACATAGAGTAACCCATCTGCCTAATTTGACATGACCAGAAGAGCAGACTGAATATACTCCATGGGTGGTCCACACTGAGGGGTAACCTGGGTTCAACTCCTTTTTAACACTTGCCTAAATTCTGAGATCTATTGAGGGCCTCTAACCACAAAGCAAGGAATCAATTTTAATAGCAAGAACCAGCCCTAAACTATATAAAGAACAATCAATTTTTAGAAGCAGAAAAGGAGTAATAAAATGGGGGTAGAGATACAGAAGCTCACAGACAAAAGCAGAAAAGAAATAAGGCATGATAATAGTTAAAATGAAATTCACCCTTAGAAATCCTCACAACAGTTCTTGTTTGAGACTAGAGGAAAAAAAGCCATAAAACTTGCACTTCCTTAGTAACTTAAAAACTGACCTGTAGCAGCTGTGTTGCTGTAGCTCTCTGTTCAGGATTTTTCACTAAGCATTTCTTCACAAAATCTGTGAATTCATCAGACCAGAGCTCTGGCTTCCGGAAGGTTGGAGGGGGATTTGTAGGAATCATAAAAATAGCCTAGATAAAAATCAAACAACAATAGCAAGTTTAAACAAAACACTTCATCACAGCACTGAAGCCAAGTAAATAAATTGCTTTATCCACCTTTCTTATCAGGCTAAGAATCTGGAAGACAAATTTTAAGTAAGCTAGGATTTCCACTCAGATCAACATTCAGGAAGCAGATCCATCTGCTACTAATGTAGCTACTTCCCATTAGGTTTTCTTTATTTAAACTGTACCCCATTGAGCACATCACTCCTTAGTTTATCTATTGCTGTTTATCACAGTCGAGAGATTTTCTTCTTCTTTTAGAAATTCTTAATAGAAATGACAGCACTGCTGGTTTGAACAGACACGGTTGCTGTCAAAAGCCAAGTTCACCTTCTCCTCTCTTAACTGCATTTAGTTTTACAGGAGTACTGCTATGAAATTCGGTAGGATTCGTATTTCCTTTTGCACTCATAATTCTTGAGAAGTAGTTTTAAAACATGCTTTTCCTAATGAGATTTAGAAACCTATGCTAAAAGACCTATGACAACACTAAAATATGACAAAAATAAAACAATCAAGTAACTTGTCTACCAGCAGGGAGAATTTACTTGAAATTGGAAAGGCAGCATTTTACCTATATAGCAGAAATTTCACATGGTCCAGAACCACATGCAGACAGATTTTTCAACTAGGAAAAAGATTCATGCTATATAAAAAAAGTTTGTCCTATAAGACTATATATATTATACAATTTTCTTTATGATTTTTTTCCAGGTTTTCCTCTAATTATAGATTTAGACATGTAGGGCGGCAGGGGAAAACAGCAGTATAATTCTGAAAGAATTTTTAACTTCTTATGTAGTATCTCAAATGCATTCAGTATCATTGCTTAAGATTACACAAGACATTATTCAGAGCTAGGTCTAGTGACAGAAATAATAAGCTACCATTTTCTTCTAAACCCATGTTCAATTCAACCACATTTTCCAAAGCGGGAATAAAAATTCTTCATGTGTTTTTCTACAAGTATAGGCAGAAATACGTACTCAAAGGGGAAAAAACTGAAATGAGAGATTATGCACACTGTTAACATAGTAGAGGCACCAGAACTTTGAAACATCAGAGAAGGGAGAGGGAGCTAACCTTGAAAGTTGGTTTAACTTGTTCAAACCCTCATTCTAAAATTCTGATCCTGCACTGAAGGAAAGCATAACCCATGCAAAGTTATGCAAAATCTGCTTACTATAATTTTAGTGGAAGTTATTCAGTACTGAATAGTTTGCTTTAATTAAAATACTTTAACATTTACAGAACTCATTCCATTATCTGCTTAATGCAAGAATTACTAGGAGAGACCTGGCTATTTTGTTTAATAAAGATGCACACTCCAATAGCTTTATATTTTCAGTGGGCAGCTCTGCCAAACCGGTATATGAACTCAGACAGGAAACGTGGTACCCTGTTACCCTGTAATTCGCTCTACCTACTTCACTGTACTGACAATCTTGTATTGCAAGTAAAATGCTTCTGGTATAAAGCAGTGGCCGTTTCTGTCCTTGAAGGTAATGATCTCCTCTGAACTTTGAACTGATGACTTTTAATCTTATCTTCAGCTCCTCTTAACAGCTAGCTCTGCAGTAGCTATTGAAAACACACGGCTGTAACAGAAGGCTCGTAACTTCAGTTTATGTGGTGTCAAAACGTGTTCCTCCTGTTTGATAATAAACATTGACCTGTCTCTCAGCAGGTAAGCAAAGCTTAGTTTCAGAGTCCTGCTCAGCTCCAGTGTTCTGGGGAAAGTATTTGCCTTTGCCAATTATTTTAATCAACTACACAGCAATTAAGAACCACAGCAAAGAAGTGACTTCTTTATAATTCACAAAGGACAATGAGAAGAAAGAGATGATTCATGAATCATTCTTTTATGGCAGGCAATATAACTCACAAAAGGAGATATTCAAGAGCTAGTTACAGTCCTAAATCCACATTTATGCTTTGTGTGTTTGTTCAAAATACCCACTTCAGAAGCACGCATATGTATGTAATGCTTTTTTAAATCTTGGTATGCGACACAAGCTGTGTTAGCTGAAAAAAAAAAATTAGATGTGTTTTTGTAATACAAGAAAACACACAAAGACTACTTATTCCAAACGCTTCGTCCATGCACTTGCTAGTGTGTACCTCTCCCTCAGCTTTCAGCACTCCCTTTCATGAACCAGCCTGAAAACACTGCTTTTCCATTCCATCTTCCCCCTCTGCTTCCTCCTTTTGGCTTGCATATTTATCTGCGTAAAAGTTAAGCTCCCTCTCTCTTTCAAAACACTCTTATGATTTAGCTTCCAGCTACTTCTGTTTCTTTCCAAGAAGCTTGCAAAGCAATCACTGGAGAATTATAAAGTTGGTCCCAAATCTCCAGGAGTAAAACCAAAATGCTTATCTGACAGGAACTTATTCCTCATTTTTGCTCCCCTTTCTTGTCAAATACATCTATTCCATCCTAGAAGAACTCTGTCCTATTTTAAAACAAAACTAAGCTGCTTCAGTCGCTCTGTTCCATGGGTGCCAAGGGAAGAAGGAAACCTAAGAGATATGGTTTTTTCATGCTTCTTCCATCTTACCAATTCTCCCAAACTATTACCTGTAGTAATTTTTTGCTTACACTCCACTTGCAGTTTTATCTAATTTTTTTCCCCACAGCTATTGGTGTTAGTTCAGCTCTCACAGTAGGGCTGACGCCAATGCTCATCCAGCCAGCGTTAGGCAACAGTTGCTTAAAAGAAAAAACAAAGCAAAACACCAGCACCAGCTAGCACTGAACATAAGCTAACATCCACTCCGTTACAAGGGCTGAACTGGAAGTAACAACTGCAGGAAACCTTAGAAGGAAATTGTTCAACAGAGGGGGCAGGCTCTGACACACCACAGAAGAGCTGGGGCTAATTCTTTTCTCCCACCTTCAACATCACCTTCCACATTTTCCTACGGATCTGAGGCAGACTGACAAGTCTTACTCGAGTAACACATCAAATACACAGCCAAGCTGTCTGACTCAGTCTTCAGTTTTAACCATTCAGTCATCCTTTAAAAAAAAATTAATAAAGTAACTCCAAGCTGCCAAACATCAGAACTCAGGCCTTAGGGACCACGGTAGCTTCATCAGTGTTTGTCTATCTTCACCTGTAATAGAGAGCACATTCCAAATTTGTCCTGTACCGGCCCTTCCATCTCTGAACCTTGAGCCCCACTCTCTGCTTTGAATCAGCTTTCATACATTGCTCTGAGGCAAGTGCTGTACCCTGCTGAGGTGAATTACAGGACATACGTGACAAAGGATGCGGAGGTAAGACACATCATCTGGGGCAGCTTTCAGTGGCCATTTCTGAACTGGGCACTGGGCATCTAACACAGTTTCCACCAGAACTGTTGCCTGGACACACTTACCTGCCCAATAACCAGCAGTTATGGTTAATGTGAATACTGGACCAGGTCTCAAATGAGAGCAGAACTGCGCAAGTCAGCACATGGTTTTCTTTTTATTATTCTTAAAGGGCCTAGCACTTTAATAACATCCAGGCTGAAAACATTTTTTTTGTGAAGGCTCTTTTATGGACAGTTTTATTGGTGTGAAAATGTAATCAGATGAATTAGGAAACACCAAAAGAAAAATGAGACTCTCGTATACTGCATTTGGAATTTCTTAATCAGAAAATCCTGGCAGCTTACTCTTCCTGTCAGTCAGGGTAATGCATCTGTATTTCACACAGCCCACGAACACATTAAATGATCAACAGTAATCTGATAGAGGTAAAATGTCTTCTGGGTTTTAGCTCCTGGAATAACTTATCTCTACTGCTTAATTTAAATAAATTACTTGTAATAAACTGCAGGAAATCAAAATTATTTGCCCAGTATCATGAACGCTACTGAAGGAGACAACAGAGATGTTTGTATTGTGGCAATTTTAAAGTTTTCATGCTACAAAGCTCCATTGCTACAATCTACAGAGAGAAACCTATTCAGAAAGAGGGTAAGGATAAAAGACACCACAGTAAAACTATTTAGTTTATCAATCTGCTGCAGAAAACAAACTCCAAGGTTATTTAAACTCAGTAATACATTTTAGAGTACAATATCCTAGTTAAGGCTAGGTGATCGAATACTGAATACTGTAACTTTTTGTTAGCTTTAGAAACAAAGAATCAGCTGAAAGACACATTTTTCTCTTCTTTGTAATAGATGTCATAGGACTTCCTTCCCTTCTTGAATGGCCTTCAAAAAGGCTATTGAAACAACAAATTATTCAATTACAGAACTCAACAGCTGTCTAGAAATGAAACACCAGCATGGACAAGACAGGCAAGATACTAGCAGGTTCCGCATTGGTTTTGCTTTGTGGAGGTTTTGGTTGGTCAGTTAGGGGTTTGGAAACAAAGTTACTGAACAACACCTTGTGCTTAAAGACAAGGAAGACAGTTCAGGATCTGTTTCAGTGGGGATAATGAATTTAATTGTTAGAAGCACCCTAAAAATCACCAGCTTCCTCCTCCCATTCACAAACACAGAAGTTCAGGAAGATCTGTTGTACTTAATTTTTTTTACACAATTACAAGTGGGTCTGGCTCCATCAGACATCTATTAGATATCTGATCCAAGGATAACCTCAATATCCCCTGAGTTTGTTAAAACCCCTAACTGGAATCCAAATGTGCAATTCAAAATGTTTGAAGAGCTTAATTATCTTTCTGTGTTAAATACGACTTCTGCTGAAGCAGCCAATACCGATTTTCAGTCTTTTTTTTCAGAAAGAAAAAATTGGCTTCTAAGTCACACACCAATTCTCACTCATCCAACTAGAGCTTTCTTTTTTGGGGGGCTGGGAGGGGGGTTGGTGTAAGTGCTGCTCTTTACCTGTCTCAGTACCAAGAGCAACATGGACTACAGAGATCAAGAAGGAATCACTCAAATCAAAACGATGCATCCAAAGGCCCATGCAGGGCTATTTCCTTCATTTTCACTCCCTGTCT